AGGAGGTTCAACCTGCACCTGCTCCCCTTGCTGTCTTCTGACTCCTCTCCGTCTTCTCTCTTCTTCTCCCTCATTCCTCTCTTCCCCTCCTCTGCTCAGAGTTCGTCGGTCTTCAGCCTACGACTTGGTGAAGGAGGGGACTGATCGTCTTGGTTGCTCATCGGCACAAGAAGAGGAGGAGGGAGGAGGGAGGAGGGAGTCGAAGAGGAAGAGATTCATTGTTGTGTCATCATGAGCTGCTTGGGCAATGAACTACTCCTCTCCTTCACCTTCGCCACGTGGTGATTGGCAAACGCAAAGCAGGGATGCTCCTCCTCTATCTTCCTGCTGAGAGAATGAGGCAAGACGAGAGTGATTGAGGATCAGGAAGAGAGAAAAACAGAGGGACGAGGATGAAAGGGGAGGGTATGACAAAAACGAGGGGGAGGAGGAGAAGTAGGAGCATGAGCAGAAGGAGCAGGAGAAGGGGTAGAGAAGAAGGGAAGAAGGAAAGTGGGAGTACACTCGCCTCTCTTCCTGCGCCGGGGTCCAACTCTTGTCCTGCATCTTGTCCAGCTCTTGCGATACCTTGAGGAGCATGCAGTTTTTCAGATCCCCTGAGTTCCTGTCCTTGTCTTCCATGCACGTGTCGAACTCATTCTTCGCCTCCTGCGCCTCTTCCTCCTTCTCGCTTCCTTTTCTCGCTCCTTCATCCACCGCCCTGCTCTCCCCTCCTCTTGCTGCTGCTGCTGCTGCTGTCTCATCGTTCGAGGCTGCCATCTGATCGACCCTAGGAGTCACATGCCCGAAGTCCAAGACGATTCCGTGAAGTTCGTCAAGCCCGTGTTGGAAGCGAGGAGGACGATTAACAAGAGCTGGGGCTGCAGCTGGGGCGATTGCGGGAGCGGGAACGGGAGCAGGAGCATGGGCGGGGGCAGGAGGAGGAGCAGGAGGAGGAGCAGAGGCGGGGAGGACGGAAAAAAAGGTTTGAGTCTCCTCGAATCGCACCCAGTGCTCGGGAAGCGCATCCTTCAAGAGCTGCAGCTCATGTAGACTGTCTCCTCCACCTGAGTCTCGTCTCGCAGCCATCGCGCCCACGTTCGCCTCCTTGTGTGGAGGCAGAGGCTTCTTGAGGTCAAAGAGCTCCGTCAGCCCTGCAGGATCCACTTGCCCGATGATCCTCCGCATGCTCTGCCCAGCTGAAGGTCTGTCCAGCGGTCCTCCAGCAACGTGAAACTCTTGGACGTCCTCCTTCTCAACCCTCCGTCCTGCGAACGCCGTCAGCTCACTCGCATGCTCCAGTGCCTGCCTCACTCTCGTCCTCGAGCCTTCGCTCCATCTGGTCTCCCAGCTTCTTCTTCTCCGACTCCAGCCATCTCATCTTCTCTTCCTCCAGCCTTCGTCGCTCCATCTCTGCACAGAAATCAGAATTCGGCGGGCAAGGGAAGGGCGAGAGGAGAGGAACCTAGCAGTCTCTGCTGCTCCTTCTGCTCTAACATGTGCTGTTCTTGCATCTTTCTCCTCTCTGCATTCAACTTTGCCATTGCGATGTTCTGCGCCTGCTGCTGCAGCCCCTGCAGCTGCTGCTGCCATTGCACCTGGAGGTTCCTCACCACCTCCTCCATCTTGCCAGGAGACTTGGTCTGATGCGGAGCATGCGTTCCTTGCCCGTGTCCTCCCATCACCACAGTCCCCACGTCTGTTCGCTTGCTGGCTTTTGCCGGGAGTTTGAGGAATCTGCAGATGTGATTGCACGTGTGACTCTCGAGGAACTTCATGATCCCCTTCATCCCCAGGTTCCCCTGCCCGTATCCTCCTCCGTTGATCGAGTGAATCTGCGGGTCCGTGTACTTGTCCGCCACTCCCTGCAGCAAAATCAGGGATGGAGTGAAGGGGAGGAGGTAGGAAGGGAGTAGAGGTAGAGAAGCGTAAAGTTTGGGGAGTAGGAGAGAAGCGGAGACAGGGAGGATGAGGAGAGGAGAGGGGAAGTTAAGCAACAAGTCCACCTGAATATCACAGATGAGCAGCTGGTGGTTGCTTGCCTCCCAGGTGAAGTGTGAAAAGGCCTGCCGGGACACGCATGAGATCGCGTGCAGTGATCGTACGTCAACGATCTTGTGACCTGCGGGGTGTTTCGGCGGTCGTCGCTCCAATCCCAGTTGTTGTTGTACTTGACGTACTGCCCTGGAACAAACAGCTCGACCCCGCAAATCGGTCGGTTGGGACGGTCAATCAGCTCCATGACATAGGCGGCGATAAACTCCACGCGCTTCGGCACGTTCTTGCCGTTAAACTCATGCGCCCACTTTTGAGCTTCAGTTTGCATCCGAACATCGTCGAAGTACTGGGCTACAGGCGTTCCTATCACCTTTGCGATCTTGGCGACAAACTGAGACTTCTCTCCGCTGGCCGACAGATCTCTCATGTGATACGCGGCTCGCATGGCGCCTTCGGCAAATGCGTACCGATCGATGACGACATTGACCAGAGTTCTCCTCCACTTCTGAGTGTTGGTGTCATATTCGTGCTTGATTGCTCTTTCCGACTCGGAGACATCAAAGTCGTCGGTGTAGATGTTGTCTGGCAGTTCAAACTTGGGGATCGGAAACTTTTGCTTGTAGTTGATGAGCTGTTCCAATGTAGGCCGCAGACCGACCTGAGAAAGTGCCACCAGCCTGGCGGCGAGAACAAACTCAGAGCGAGTCAAGAAGCCTTTCTGTCCTCGATCGCATGTAGCCCACACGGTCTTGAGAGTTTGTTGCGGTAAACCAGAGCGAGCGAAGAAGGCGACTGCCAATCTGCCCTGCAAGGTAGTCTGACCGCTTCCAGCTGCAAGTTCGAACATTTTACGGAAGTGCTCCACCTCCTCTGGCAGTAGACGCACAATCTAAGGAAGAGATCGAAGAGTCAGAGGCTCCTCTAACTTTCAAGGTTGCTCACCTCTCGCAGCTGGGTGTCAGTGAGAGATTCAGGTTGAACTTGCCCCGCCACCTTCTGGAGAGCCATGGCGGGGTTGTGTTGCGGCAAAGCTGCGGCATGCATGACCCCCAAATCTTGTCACTCACGATAAGTAGCTGTCTTATCGCAGATCATTTCACTCTGAACATCAATCGAGTCGAGGAATACAGAGACAGGTCAATCGTTGCTGAGGGGCGTTAACTTGGTTGGAGATAAACGCCGAGGGTCATGACGAGGTTTCTGTCTCTCAAACGATGACTTATCGGATCTGAAAGCAGATGAGTCAAACAGAGACACTGCATTTCCCCATTCCCCGCAGAAAATTGTGCGAGACTACATATTGCGACTTGTTGTTCCATGAGTATTCTCACTCTCTATCATGCACTTAATCTACGCTATCAAAAACCTCTCCACCTGAACCCCTTTAACTTTGTCATCTCGTTTTCATATCATTGTGTTAGCCTTCTCTTCATGCCTTCCCTCCCCTCGTCTCCTGTTTAACTCTTCCCCATTCCCTTGCAGCATTTTTCGTCATCGAATGTCCGCACCCCACCTACCCCATAACCTTCCCCTGATTCATGTACCTGAGTACCCCTGCTTGCATTAACATGAACCACCCCTCTTCACCCGACCAACCCTTCCTGACCCGCCCAATAGGACTGACCCACCCTACAGCATCGTTTTTTTAAATCAGTTCACCATGGGGTTCGGTCTACTACCTCACCCCAGATCTTTCCATTGGATCAAGGTTGTTGGGAGGGGTACTCTGTTTTACCATCCCTCACCCAGCTAACCCGACTGATGAATCGGCTCGGAATCTCAAAGCAAGGCCCGGCACTGGCACTTAACTTTGAGTAACGACCGAGGCGCGGCAGCGGCTGCGCCATTTCAAATGATGGCAGTGACCGTGCCAGGACCGTGAGTCACACGGGGGGTGACCCGGTCACGGTCCCGCCGTTACGGGGCCTGGCCGCGGCGTCCGACCGTGTCCTGGCACTGTCATCAGTGACACTGCCGATACTATGATACCGGGCCGTGATCGGACCGTACCGGGACTGAGCGGCCGCTCACTGCGGCGGCTCAGTCCGGGCCCGGAGTCCCTGGCAGTCTGGCACGGGCCCCGGCCGGCGGCCGGGGCCGCCGGGCTCCCGGCCGGCGGCGGGCCGCCGGCCGACAGCGAGCCTGAGAGGCCGCGACCTACGAGTTACTAAGTTACTCAAAGTGAAGTCAGTTAAAAATCAGTCACTCCCGGCGGCGAGGCCCGTGACAATCAGGAGAGACGAAGGAGGCTTGACCCTGCCACCGTGACTGTCCGCCGCGCACAGGCCAAACGGCCGCGAGCCTCGGAAGAGAAAACTTGGACAGCGAGAACCAAACCCGGCTTGAATCATTGTCGGAGTCCTGCCGACTGCTGTCCGATCCCCCAAACTTAACTGATACCTTCACAGTGACCGTCAAGACCTGTTGGGGGGCTTAACCGTAACTGCGCGGCGGGCAGCCGGGCCCCCGGGGGCCCGGCCCGGCGGGCCGCCGGCCCCGGGGCCTTCGTACGGTATGGACCCGGGATGATGGCGTAGCCTCGGACGCATTGACTGAGCCTGAGAGGTGTGCATACTACCGCCCGGTACCGTACCGTAATATGCATTCAATGCCGCCGCAGTTACGGTTCGATGCTGAACTTCGGAACGGTCTCGGATTAACCCATCCGATCAGTGGGCGGCCATCCGCCTCCAGTCAGTCGTCACACGTACCGTACTAGTAGTAGTAGCCATCATCGAGTCGTCCTCGGCCGCTCCGAGTCACTACTGATCTTTAACTTAACTTTGAGTAAAGACTTGCCTGCAATGCCGCCGGCGGGCCGCCGGCCGGGCTCGAAGGCTCCGCCGGCGAGGCTCCGAGGCTCAGGCCGCTGGCGGCGGCCGGCCTCCGGCGGTGACCGGACGTTAGTTATAAACAAGGATGATTTAGCAAACCTATTAGGAATGGTATGACAGGTCCTAGGGTCCCCTATAGACAGTGCCTAGGCTTACGCCGCGTTTCGAGGAGTCGCAACGTGGCGGTGGCTGACGGTGGAACGAGTCATTGACACCTTTACAAATAGCATTTAAAAATATTTATAGTCAAGCTCATCATATATAGATTCTGACAACTTTCTCAAGTCGCATTACAATTATTGACCAAAAAGAAGAGGAAAAATATTGACAATAAAGCTCTGAAATGAAAATGTTTATTTTTATTATTCTTCAAACAATTGATTTTTCATTGGTAGCAGGCTCTTTAGTCAAATGTTTGCATCTATGCTTCTTTTATTGTCAACTTAAAAATAGAATCTAATTCCTGAAATAAAGTCAATTTCACAAAATCAACGTTACAAAATAGTTTTAAGATTGAGTTTTTCTTTCGTTCGAGGTTGCTTACCCTACCCCTCTCTGTACCCATCAGCAGTGCTCTCAACATCGCTCACCTACCCCCGGCTGACAAACGTTTCCAGTACCTAGCACCCTTCCTCCTTCCTGCTGACGAGACCCCACCCCTGCCGCCCCAAGGCACTCCTCCCTAGGCTTCATAAAGGCCTTTCTCCCTCACCAACCGCATCCTCGGCAATGCTTCCCGCACTTCGTTCAACTCTTCCTGCTCTTCGCTCCTCCCTCCGCTCTCTCCGCCCCCAGGCTCGCGCCATGTCTGGCGACCACAGTGACGTTGGCCTCAAGCCAGCTGTGTGGGCCTATGGCGTGCTCGTCTGGGCTGGACTCGGCTCTGGTTACTACTACATGACCAACTCCATGGGATTCTGGAATGTTTACAGGCTGAAGCACTCAACAGCAACCTCGCACTAAGCAGTTCGAGTGTTTTAATTTGAAATTTCTTTCTTTAGATCGATGAACTTGTTCAATTTTTCTAAGCCTGTATGTTTTGTATAGCTTAATAAAACAATTACGACCTTGTCCGTACATTTCATGTTTCTTGCTCTACCCATCTTTCTTGGGCCTTAATCCGCCTGGAAGAATTTTGAATGCAAGCTAAAGCTCCTCAGAAATTTCTCCTGCAACTCATGCATTACATTGTGGGAAGCATTAGGAAGAAGGAGTTGACCGCGAAGCCAAAATTTCAGCAGAGATGCGGGGGAACGATCTTGCAGTGAAAGAATACCTGGTTGCATCATTGTTAGGCAAGGCCATCATTTCACTTTAACTTGTACCAATATGGGCACACGCAGAGATCCTGGCGTAAGTCAGCTTGCGCAGGATCACTCCAATTTCCAAGTCGCGGGTCGTAGTTGGGTGTCGATGGCCTGAGCTTTAGCCAGCAGTGTCATCACGATACCTTCATCCTCATGCCTCGCCCTCCCCTTCTCTCTCGTGCCCCTTCCCCTTCCCCTGCTAAGCTTTGCAACCTTGTCCAAGCCCGTGAGATTCGCGTCCACGTAAGTGTCATGGTCGCCCCAGCCGAAGGGAGTCGGGCCTCCGCGAACGGCTACCTCATTGCCGGCTTTCTCGCGGAGCAGCGCATGCACAAGAGGCTCATCGGACCTGAATTACGATTGAGCAGAGAGCACAAGAGAAGAGAGAAGTCTGATGAAATCACTGAGCGCAGCAGGGAAAAGCAGCCGGGCAAGCAAGGGAGGAAATTGAGACAAGAAGATATGGCAGTAGCAAGAGAGAGTGAGTGAGGGAGTGAGGGTGAGACAGGGACAGGGACAGGGACAGAGGGAGGGAGGGAGGGAGGGAGGGAGGGAGACTGTCCTACATGTCCAATGGTCTCCTGCCTTCCCTATCCCTCATACGTGCGTTCGCTCCACCTTCCATGAGGGTCTTTATGCAGTCCAAGTTGCAGTTGAGGCAAGCAAGGTGTAATGCTGTGCGACCAGCAAAGTTTCTGACCTCTACCTCAACCCCACGAGACAATCTGATGCAAAACATTAGATGCTCCAAAAGGTGATATTGGCAGTACAGCAGCTCCACGATGTCGTTGTTTCCTTGCGCTGCTGCAAGATGCAAGGCGGTGTCACCAGCGTGGTCTCTGAGGTTCAGGAAACTCAGCGACCTGAGTTCACGTAAGAAGAACAAGCAAGACATCTCAAATCAAACAAAACAACGTTTGAGTCCTCTGTCGGCGGTCAGCAATCTTAGAGCCCGGGCCTCTCGACCCCCACTCCATAAGGTCTCCTACTTCCAGTCTGTTGCTGCTCGACTGCTGCACAAGAGACATCGGAGTCATGACAGCTTTTTGACTTCCACACAGACAAGGGCAAGTAGGCAACCTGTGTGATACTAGCACGATATGCCCGTTCGGCAAGTTGATTGCTTGGCTTGGCTTGGGTAGAGCATCGTGCGCACAGAAAGCTCGTCACCTCTAAACCTTGACATGTGATAGTGAGTACTCTCAAAACGAGTACGTCGGAACATACATCCTGAGGCCGCCGATGCGTGGAGAATCGTTCGGCCCAAGTTGTCTGCGTCCTCAAGTCTCGTTCCTATGGTGGCAGTCTCAAACACAGCGAGGATTGCACATACTCTTCTCTCCGTGCCATGCCTCTGTCTCCTCTTGAGCTCTCCATACCGGGATCAGCGTCGAGCATGGATTGGAGAAGTTCGACTTTGTTGGCTTTAGCAGCAAAGATCCGTTCAGATATGCTGGAGTGCTTCTTAATTGTGCTGGCGAGGATGTTTTTCTGTACAGAACCATCAGCGTTGCATAGTGTGTGCAGAAGAATCCCCTGCACCTGGACTCCATGTAACGCATCATGAGAGGATGGCGAATAGTATGCAGGCCTTGAATCGCGCGGTAAAGAGGAGAAGTGATGAGCATAGGTTTGGTCCTTTCCATCCCATCCAGCTGCTGCCTTTGCTGACTCCAATTGTGCATGTGAGGCTGAGGCGGAGCTTTTGCCTGTTGATATGCTCTTGGCCCAGCCGCCGCGATCGAAGGGGTATGGTGCTGAGTTCCAAATCTTGCGATCGAGCATGCTTAGGAAAGGCTCAACTCAGTGTAATTTGCAGGTTGTCGAAGAGAACACTCTCAGAAAGTCTTGACGAGTGCTATCTGCATTCTTTTTCCCCCTTCCTCAAGAGTCGAGCTTGTATGAAGGTCAAAGGAGTTTTGATTGAGCATGGACTATCTCACTCCCAGTGGTAATGGAAACTTGAGATGAACATCAACTTTCCTTCATGGTAGCTGTTTCATCACCTTCAAGCATGCCGCTCTTCGTGAGCCTCATCCTTGCTCTGCACACAGCCGATTTTCCAGCCGTTGTTTTCTGCCCTCGTCCCCACTCATCTCCAATGTTGCATCCCAACTACAGTTACAGCTGCAACAGCTGCAACTACTGCAACTCAAGGTTTGGGGGAAAATGGCAGCGAAGAAGGCGGCGGATACATTTATGAGTGCCTGGGCAAGGAGACAATGGATTGAACGAGAGTCGGACATGCCAGCAGCTCCAGCTGATGTTGAGAGCATGTATTCCACACACGAGGAGATGATGAGCCATCCTCTTGCTGAGTCTGACTTTGGCGGAATCGCCGGGTACAAACTTGGAGCTGCTGGTGCTGAGGGAGAAGTTGCAATCTATGCGCCAATTTTTAACAAATTCGTGGTTGAAAATTCATTGTCGATGTCACAATCAGCTTTCAACATGCATACCCTTGAGGCCGAGGTGAGCGGAGCTCTCCCTCCCTCCCCCTCCCTCCCTTTTCCTCCCACTCCCTCCCTCCCTCCCTCCCTCCCCCTCCCCCTCCCTCACTCTCTATTAAACCTACTTTTCTCACAATGTCTTGGCAGATTGGCGTCATCATCTCCAGAGATCTTCCACCACGTGACAGCTCAATGCCGTACACTCTTGATGAAGTTTGGTCGGCAGTGGGAGCTGTCCGTCCTGTGATTGAGTGCTGTGGTAGAAGGATGACGCCTGAGCTCAATGCCAGGTTGACTCCCCTGGCAAAGTTCAACGACGCGCTCATGACAGGAGGAGTTGTGCTGGGAGAGAGGTTTGAAGCCAGCATGTTCACACCAGCGAGCCTAGCAGCTGTAGAATCCAAGATCTGCATCAACAGCGGGGTAGCGGCTGAGGGCAAGGGTAACGCATGCCCGGCTGGCGGCCCAATCGAGAGTCTGACCTGGTTTGTGAATCGTCTGCATGGCCGCGGACACTCACTGCGAAAAGATCAGCTGGTGATTACAGGAGCCACATGCAAGACATTGTCCTTCAAGGCCAATGATCAAGTGGTCGCAAAATTTTCCGGATTTCCCGATGTTTCGACGACGATACTTTCATGAGATTGGAATGGAAGTCCTCGATTTCATTGTCATAGCTCTCATGATTTCTATCTCGTCGACGAGATTACATGAAACGTCATAGTGTACTTTGTTTTCTTTACAGCCTATTAATCATGCATAGCCTGTGTCTTCGACTACAAGGGTTTAAGCTTGCAGTATCGCTGACTTACTTTCTTCCACTAAAATTACAGCACAATTCTACAATATCACCCATTCTTATCATTTGAACGATCCATCACGTTAGTATTCGCAATATCTTGCCAGACATGAATTCATCGGTTGATTTTACTGCTTAGAGATTTATGATACACAAAAAAGCACTAGAGGCTCTTGTTGACACCTGCAAGATTCGAACAAATGCTATCATGCCGATCTGGTCCTGAGTTGCGGACTGTGACTTCATCAGATAAGATGCATGAACTAAATATGGTTTCCGTGCAACTTCCACGAGGAAAACCAAATCTTCTCCCAAGAAAAAAAATATGACTTCGTTCAACACGGGCTGCCGTAACGTTCACAAGTGAACAATATTGTTGCGTATGATATACCAGCATCACCAATTCCTGCTGTGTCCAAACAGATTGTCCATCTTCACATAGACGTTTCCATCCTGCCATTAAAAAGGTGAGGTCCCATAAATGCAGCTACAGCTCATACCCCGCCGAGTGCTTGCTGTTCTAGCGGAGTCAGAGGAATGAGAGATTCATCCTGAATAGATTGGCCGAGAGCGACGAGACGATCGTCATGCAAGTAGTACCAGTACGATCTCGCAACCAATGCGAAATAGGCATTCAATCCCAGGCCAAGAAACAAATAAAATATTCCATAGAAGTAAGCGAAGGATTTGTAATAAGTAGAGTCATACTCCATGCAAGCAATCACCTGGAGTCAAGTTAGAAATGAGAAAAGCGTGAGCATCGATCCGCACCCTCGGGTCTGTATCTGTGGAGTTTGTGAACATGCTCAAGCAATGATCCAGTGATCCTTCGCTGAAGGATTTCACGTCCGCGCTTCTATAACAACCATGTTAACATGCACTACACATAATCTATAAATGGGTACTACATGGTTGAAAGACGGAATATTTCAAGAAAAATGCAAAGGACTGTGTAGACAATCCAACCCCAGAAGTGCATGTCAGCTTTTTTGACCTGTTCGCACTTCAATCCAGTATACGGTTGCAAATTGTGTGCTTACATCTTTCTTTGCATGTGCCATCAATCCCATCATCTGATTGCAAATAGAAAACAAATGAATGAGGACCCGAATCGTGCTGACTGCATGAGTGCTGAACACTCCATTTTCATGCCACGCCGATTCGCTCCTTGTTAGGTTAGAGCACGACATGATGAAGCCCACGACGCTCCAAGTCAAAAAGAATATACACAACAATCTGCGTGTTTCATTTCAGCTGCGAAAGCTTTGTCCCAATGATAAATTTGAAAAGACCAAAAGCAAGTTGTCACACATGAAGACAAACTACAAACTGTGCCCTCTTAACTAACTGATATAGGGATCAAACATACACTTGCTGTCAGAATAAGCAACATGAAAGGACCTGAAGCCGCCAGCGATGTCCATCAGCCCACACGCGCAAAATCGCAGCGGCTGTATCGCCTCTCCCATGCAGAACCTTGGCGGCCCCAATGCCATTTTATCTCCCCCTTTATTCCTTCCTTGTTTGGCGACACTCTCATTACCAGCGCGATGGGGTAGGTGGTGGGTGCTGGATCGTGGGGGTACTTTCTGTTGCAGGTGGTAAAGCACAAAGGGTTGGGTGGTTTTGGAGGGGTACGAGGATGAACTTCGAGCCTAAACCCTAAACCCCTAAACCCTAAACCAGGTACAGAGTCTCCTGTTGATTGAGATTCTTCGGGTGGGGGTAGTTCAAAAAGGCTATGATAGGATTGTTCCACGGGGGTGGGTACCGAAGGAGACTTCAAGGAGGGGTGGTGCAAAACTCAGGGGGGTATGGCAATCTTGGGGTATGAAGGAATGGGTGAGCATGGCCAATCTTTTGGTTGTGGTGCCACTTGACTTTCAAAATGTTTTTACATAATATTTGTATAATATTTGTATTTCAAAGTTATAATGGAAGTATAAATATGGTACAGATTATAAGATATTTAAGTTCAAGTAAAAACCAAAACTATAGAATTGAATAGTTTTGAGTTTTATCCCTCAAAAGGAGAGCTATATTTGCAGAATTCTGTTGCATCCAACCGCACCCCCTCAGTTGATGAGTAAAAACTTCACTTGACTCTGACTGCCGCAGTAGTGCCTCGGCCCTGCTGCCGGCCCGGGACCGGCCGCTGTGATTTGCTATTCAAATCTGACCCTCAACGGAGGCTCGAATCTAGAGCTAGGGATGTGTTGGCCAGACAGAAACAGGGAAGAGGATGTGGAGAAGACAGCAGGCCGGGAGAGACTTGCAAAGAGGCAGTAGGAGAGACCGTGTGTGTGAAAGCTGAATCAAAGCCTAAGTCTGCTGGCAAGAAGAAACGCAGAAACAAAAAGAGGGATGGAAAGGTCGAGGTTGAGATATCCGGACAACCATACGAAAACCTGGAACATCAGGCGAGCAGAGCCAATTGCTCTATGGAAAGGGGAGCAAGTGGGAGGGGAAGCCAGATGTTGAGAGTTCTTGAATGGGATTGGACAGAGGGCTTTCCAAGTTTTTCAAAGCATATTGATCCAAGAAAAAGGTGGCAACGAGGACCACAACGGTGGGGCAAGTGATGAAGTCGACGAGCAATACGAATCTGGAGCCCAGGATTCGAGGCAAGGCTTCGATCGCTGTGTTTGGCAGAACGGCAGAACATATATAGTAGGCTCAACGGTTCCAAGGCACCTTGGAGCGCCCTAAGTTGCAATCAACAAAGCTGGGATGAGGAGCTGGAGCGTGAGGCCTGTACCTCCGAGGGGATCATGGTATACCGTGGCATAGATACATAAGCCTGCCGAGTAATAAGTGAAGTGGTTGAACCCATATCTGCAACAAGACGAACATGGGATCCTCGGGGTCATTACTGTGAACCATTTGTAGCTTTGGCTAGGGCTACCATGATGGGCCTTTCTGCCGGCAGCACTCAGCCTGCCGAACCCCGTGTGAGTCTCATGATGAGTGAGTCTCACGATGATCGGCGATGGTACCGAGCCAGACGCCGTCAGTATTCTTGCTGGCTCTGCCACCGCACAAAGTGTACGCCTACGAATAAGATCACGAAACAGGATGAAATTAGTCATGATTGGATGCAACTATATGCTTTTTCAGACAGTTCAGATGCAGATTGCAAGCTTACCGGCAACTCGACAGTGAGCTATGTAATTTTCTTGAATCGATCTCCCATTACATGGAAATCTGCAAGGCAACACATTGTTACTCATTCTACGATGGAAAGCGAATACATACAACGCACGTTGACAACAATTGAAATCTTGGCAGAAACCGAGCCACGGACCCCTCCCAGGCTCTTGCCACTACATGCCAGTGCCGCTCCACACCAGACCCACAGCCGCAACCAAGAGAACTAGGGGCAGGGATGCGAAGCTGTATGCTGAATGGCTTATGCTCTTCGTCGGAGTGGTGCTCGGCGCCACGCTGAGAGAGTCGATGCAGCCTGCGGCATCGCTGCATGCACCGCTTGTCTTCGAACTTGCGATCAGTGAGTCTAGCATGCCGTTGGCGTCCACACACATGTCGCCATACAACTTCTTAACGTAGCTGCCAGCACAGAGGGGCCTTGGTTGTTGAGGTGGTGGACGTGCACTGCGACTCGGAGTCAGACCTGCAGCCCATTGCGATGGTGTTAGAAAATGAGATAGTGCAATAAGGGGCGCAAGTCGTAGCCTTCCTTGCCTGACACAAACCATTCAAGGCACATCGTAATCGCTCTCAGTCTACAACATGTGTCTTAGCGTGGCCCCTGAGCCTGGCATGTCCGCCGTCGGACCGCCGTTCACTTCTCCTCCTTCTTCCGACTTCTCCTCCTCAAGTTCTTGAGAGTCAGTGCATGGCACGCGGCAATGCTGCGGCAGATGCTACCGTCATGATCTCGCTGCCCAGGATGTCACCCACTGCGGCCCGGCCCCTGACGGACGGTGACCTATGTCGGAGCTGCAAATCAGAGTCACAGGCTACCGCCGACACCACTATCACATTGAAGTTACTCTCTGCGCGGCAACGATATCATATGAGATCGGACAGTGCCGTAGGCACTCGCCGGCCTGAAAGACAGCCGGGCGGCGAGAACCAAACTTGAAACCCACCAACTGGCTATACTAATAATCCGGGCCATGGCTATCAACTTCCGGTGACCGGCCGCTACACAGCCGGGAACCTCAGTCCGAGCTATCTTTACTCAAAGTATCTCTGATTATTGACTGAAAAAGTGATAGGAGTGAGCGTCACTGATCCTGCCACTCATAGTTGACTGAAAATATTCTGAGAACCTCTCGCGGAAAGGAATGCAGGGGGTGGGTGGGATCAACAAATGCTGATGGAGTAGGGTACATGTGGCGCCAGATACAGAGGGGGTGGGTCAGTTCAAGGTTGATCCACCACGGTTTGAAGAGGAAATGGACCCCATGAGAGTAGATGTCCAGGGGGTGGATGACGAGTAAAGAGGGTGGTGGATTCACTGGGTGGAATTGGTGGGGTAGGTAGTATTGGTAGTGTGGCGGCAATGAAAGCGTCTGAGGCAGGAAAGCTCAAGGTAGCGGAGCTGCAGAAGCTGCTTAAGGAACGAGGCCTCCCATCCTCTGGTACCAAGGCTGAGCTTGTACAGGTGCTGATTCTGTCATTTGCTCTCATTCTCATGATCGCCGTCTTTTTGTGTGGTGTTTCTACCATGCCTCCCCACTTCCTCTGGGATTTGCAGGGGTTGCTGTGGGAGAGTGAAACAGAGTTCATTTCAGAAGTGCTGGATGATTCATTCGAATGCAAAAAGTGTTGAATTCCTAAATGATTGAGATCTAATTTTTTGTCGCTTCAGACATGCATGTTGAATGCGTACGATGAGTGTAGTTGTTAGTCAACCCAGATTTATGGCACAATATCTGAATCAATCTCTATTTGTTTTTACAGAGACTTGTAGAGGCATCTGAGAAGAATCCTGCCAACGATGAAGCGAATAAGAATTCAGAACCATCTGCCGCTCCTGCGAAATCCACTGCAGCTGAATCTGGTGTTGCTAAAGAAAAAGTAGCTGAGCCGAGCACAAAAACAGAAGATTCAGAAAGTAAGGCTGCAGCAACTGCTCCAGCTGCCGCGGCTACTACTCCTACTGCTCCGGAAGCGAATGCTCATGGAACTAGTAAGGTCAGTTGGTAGATTGTTGCTTGCTTTCCTGTATTCGTCTTCTTATGCTTCTTTCACCTTACCATTAACCACAGCCCGTCTCATTGGATTTGGACGAGAATGAACGCCGAAAAGCTCGCGCAGCCAAGTTTGGATTGCCAAGTGAAGAGTTGAACAACGACAAGTTGAAAGCTCGCGCAGCCAAGTTCGGTTTGCCGTTGGCATCGGTAAATTCTTTGATATGATTCGGCATAGCAAATGACCACGTCGCTTTTCAAGATCCAGGAAGACAAAATTAAAGCTAGAATGGAGCGTTTCCAAGACGTAGCGGAATTTATACTTGTTGTGAACTATGTGACATTTTATCAACTTGCAGGCAAACAAATCTTCTCCTTCATCGTCTAAGGTTTGCTGATTGATCCATTGATGGAAAATTCATGAGAGTGTTTCAAGAATTCTGCAGAGGAGGAAGCAAAACGTCTGAAAAGGGCTGAGAGGTTTGGCCACACTGTGGTGGCCACTGGACCTGAGGCCGATAAGGTGAACTTTGTGAAATTGCGCAATATCCAGCCTCCTAAGATTTTTTTCTAAAGCTTGCTGCACGAGAAAAGAGATTCAAATCAAGTTAATGTCATGTGAAAGTTCAGGCTGTCCTTCAGTGGTAAAGCGTGAGAAATCTATTTTCGCAAAGTAATTGAATTCGGGTGACGACTCTCAGATCATTCGACAAGGATATTGCTGGTCGGGTTGTCATTACAATGCAGATTATCACACCACCTGACAATGCAGATAGATCAAGTAAATTCAATAACAAATTAGGCAATTGAAAAAAAGCAACAGCGCCAGCAATCTTTCTGCTTTGATATTCCTTTCTACTCCTTGACAGCTTCCAAAAGTCTTGAGAAATAGAAATTGGTAGCAGTCATCTCCGATCGCTTCACCTTGAATCCTGCCAAAGACCATTACTGCACAGATTTATCTTAGCTTAGTCAATTGCCTCTCTTCTCCAAAGCAGCCACCACGTCACTTTCGACATGCAGGTAGGCACGTGTTGCCTGCAAGTCACTCAAGATGTTGACAGCCTTTGCGACTTTGACAAACCTTGGATGGGCCTGGGGCTAAAGAGCCAACGAATTTCAAAGCAGCATAGAATGGAGTAAATGGAGCAAAGGAGATGATGAATCTCTTTGCTGTTAATTCACTCAGCATTGCACATTTGGACATGAATTTCCTCACATGCAATGTCACAAAGGTGTCCAACCATCGAGTCCATCTTCTCAGTGGGATAATGAATCAGGACCTGGATCATGTCATCAACTCTGAGAATGAACTGTTATGATTTTTTGATGCTCTTACATCAATGCAGGTCACAGTGTCATAAGAACCTATCAATGATAGTCAGTTGTTTCAGGTAAAAGTATACATAAAAAACCATTTAAACTCTCCAAATCTGCAGTTTCAAAAGTCACAGATCCTTTAAGATCCCTGACCAAAGAGTCAGGACACAGAAAACATCTTTTTGTTTGCTTCAGACATGTTGGCGGCGCGTGCGGCACCCTCGTTTGCCATGGCTTCACTGATGTCACTGGCTCGAACCTGCGAAATCAGTAAGATCGAGGGAAGACGAGAATCGAAACTTGGAAGCATAACCTTTGCTCCCATCTGAGCGAGTGGAATAGCCAACGAACCAACTCCGCATCCGGCATCGCAGAAAGTCTGTCCATTTGCAGCGCTTCCATCTTCCTGAATCCAGGCCAAAACCTGCCAGGAATGTCAACGCTTCAAACCTGCAGGACACAGCATTCCTTGTCGATAGTCTGCTGATGTCCAGAACGAATAAACTTCTGAACCGCATTGACATCGTCACTTTCACTGTAAATCTTGCTCCAGCGATTAAATCCTTCATTGTTGAAGTACTCTTTCACTTCCTTCTTGTCATCAACAACTGCCATTCTGAATGGTCTAGCACGTGGTGCGAGCACACTACTGGCTCTACGCAAGGGCAGCGAGGGAGCTTGAAAAAATGCGTGAGCCTGCGCATTCAACTTGTCAGTGACATGAAAAATTGCGTGGTGAAAACGAATCTCTACGCATTGCTTTGAAGCATTAATCTAGAGTTTTGCATCCTCGAATTCTACAAAGGGACACTGATAAATACATGGCTTGCTTTCAACAAGATTGGATTGTGCTTGTCCTTCTCACCTGTGTCGCCATAATGACGACCATTGCCGCTTTCATGGCCGCCATTTCTTTTAACCTGTCAGCCGATCACCACTACCCCAATTTATGAATAAGATTAGACCGGTGTGGAATTCTTTTGTATGCAACCCCCGCATCCCCCCTCAATCCCTGCAGCTTCCCGCCTTCTTAAGCCACAAACTTTTTGTTGTGTCCTGCATAGCTCTGTCCTGTATAGCTCTGGATGTCTCATTCCGCTCCGCTGCTGTGCTGCTGTCCTTTTCGTTTCCACAACACATCTCATCGCGCTTTTTTTTCATATGCAAAGTTTACAATCTCTCTTCTGCTTCTTTTATTTACTGACTGAGTCTTCGCACAGGGATCTTCTAACCGAATATGGCATCTGTTGTGTCTTCTTTTGGATACGATGACGGAATCCTGTTGGAAGGCCTGGATTGGTCGATTATGGACATTTCAGAACTCTCCGCCAAAGATGAATTTAACGAGGACATCCTTTCCAGCTTCGATTTCCACTCAATGCCGATTGAGTCATTGGAACCAAGGGAAAATGCAGGCATCCTGGAGTATTTTAATCCCGAAGGATTGGATGAGTCCCTGTGTTGGGATCAACAAGTGCAGAACAAATCGCCTGGTCCAAATCTCAAAGTTGAATTCATACCAGATAGCGTTCTTGTGGTACTGTTGACAATCTCTCATATATGTTTTGAAATGCGATTTAGAGTCCTCGAATGACACAGGAATCGTCAGATTCTGAAGTATCATCTCCCGACGATGGGAAGCATTGTATGAGTGAGATCTTTGTGACTTTGTAGAGCTCATCCGGTTCGTGATGATATTTTTCACAGAAACAGAACCCACAGCTAATATTCAACCAAGATCTTGTTCTAGGCAAATGGCTTGGGTTCAGAAGTTGCAACAATTCAGAGCACTCTGGGATAATCTTGAAATCGGCGAGTGCAGCAGAGAATTTTTGCTGCAGCTGGGCGAATGTATCAAGAGTAAATCAAGAAGTCAGAAGCAAAGTTTCCTTATGTTTCTACAAATCTCAGCTGTTCGCGGATTCATCAGTCCTTTGCCGTTTAGGAAATACAATCTCACGGGTAGTACTTGTGCATACAATCAAAAGGATTCGTATTTTGGATGGACAGGATATTTGGTGATCAGCACGAGAGCTGCTGAATTTTTCAAATTTGCTCGAGAATCGTTGCTGAGTAACAAAGGAGAAACATCATCTCAAGCTCTGAAAAGACAAAGTCAGAATACATTGAGACAAATGAAATTTATTCCATTGATTGCAGGTCATTGGGACGAGGCTTTTGCGGGAAAAATTCCATTCATTTTTCATGCAGCTTAGTGGAAGAAGCGAAAGCAGTATTTTCCCATCTAAATCGTAGCATTTCCATGAAACAACTTATCTAGTAAAAACATTTACATACATGCACAGAGCTACTTTCTGAAGTATGTCAAGCTGTTCGTTTTTGCTTTGAATTCCTTACGCCCGTTTCTGAGGCTTGAAAGGTATGATCTTGCAGTACATCTCAATTCGTCTCTGAAATGGTAGAATCATTGCACACATGTTTTGTTTTGTGACAGAACCTTAGAATTTGTCGTTCCTTGATGACTTTAGACTCTTCGAGCAACATCAGCCAGAGCTGACACGAGCAATGTCACGTGTTTACAAACACAATGACAAATGTCACCTGAAACGAATCTACTAACAATCTTGTCTTCTCCTTTTCTACCCAAGCAATCTTGAAGCTCAACGACCTGCATGCCGTTGTGAGAGAGATCAATCTGAATGGCAACAATATCTACTTGATATTATGATCGTGCAGCTGAGCCTTTGCAACAGAGCTCCAGCGAGCCACAAAGGTTTGAAGAAGGGTTTGAATCTTCGTTCGGAGCAGCTCATCAAAGATCGGATCCAATGCAGTACATCTTGATTTCAAACGGTTGAACATTCGTCGTTTCTGCTCAGAAAATGCAAAAACGCAAAGCTGTTAGGACACAAGTAAGAACACATCGTCAATCACCTGAAACGCTCTAACAGGGATATTCAATAAGTGGTCACAAACAAAGTTGTGCAGAAGCACATTTGTACGATGGTCAGAAATCGCCCTCACGAACTTCTATTGGTGAAACATTCATAAAAGGTTTGGAAAGCTTCAGATCAGATCACCTTGAAGTATCGTGAGCACATTCTTTGATAGCACCACTGGTCACGCAACTTTCTCTAACGCATTGTTGTTACTTTTCACCAAAACGTCGACGAAGACATTGGTGAATTACTTGGAGACTGACGTACTGGAACCATGGGCGGATGCCGGAGAAGATCAGACTATGCATGGTTCAGATGAAAGACATTCATAGCGCTGCTACCATGAGCGGTTGTGATGGAGTCTCGCAAGATGCAATCTTTGTCGTTGCTGCTCCTTCAAAACTGTTCGCGGACAAATATCAGCACGATAAATTTTGGCCGCAAATATTTTGTCTCACTTTCAACTTGTAAGTCTTTTTGTATCTTGAGCAGCTGTTTCTCTCTGCAAAATTGTCAAGGGAATCTCTAGAGCCTGTAAAACGACCTATCCTTTTCAATATCCAACCTCTTTTGCTCTTGCTGCTGAAGCATGTCCATCCGTTCTCTGTGATGGGTCAACTTGGCGATCAAAGTTGTATTTCTCAAATACTTCTCTTGCTCCATCTCAATGCGAGCTTTCCGGGATTGTTCATGTTTGATCTTCAGCTCTTCTCTTCTTTGCCTGCATTTGAAGTCATCACAAGTCGTATTGCTCGCAATCAACCTTCTCATGAGATTGCGCTCATCCATCATTTTCAAAAATAGGACTGACTTGCTGACAATCTCTTTCTTGGAGGAACTTGACCTTGACGAAACGTTATTGAATCCAATATCTTCTGCTGTTGTCTGAGTTGGCATTGGATGAAACTGCTTCTTCTCTCTTGGTGCTTGTTTATGTGATGGCGGGCGACGATGTGAGAAGACAGCTCGAGCATGAGAGACTTGCTTAGAGGCTTGTTCACGCATGACGCTGCTCGCTTTTACTGGGATCCCGAACATCAGGCGAGTCATTTTCTGCATGGAAAGAATGGCAGGTGAGCACGAGATTTCAAAATAAGGCGACGCGTTTTCAAGTTGGATTGATTTGATGCTTATTACCTCATTGTCTAAGCGCTGGCATCGTAATTTTTTGCAGAATCGGTGAAATGTTGCGACCTTGGACCAAAATTGTTGAGATTTACAATATTTAGCCAGTAGCAATTACCACTCGCTTCATCATTCTCTCTCGCGATATGTCTTCAAAAGCTTTGCATTTCTCCTCCAAGTTGAAAGAATGGAGTTTCTGATGGGAAATATAATTCAGAAACACAAAAAAGCATATACCATAAATCACCTCTTGTACAAAACTTTCAAAACATATGGCTAGCAGTCGTTCTTGTGATGAGAGCCAAAAACATTGTTTCAAAATCATCAGAAAATGTACGAAGGGAAGATTTGCAACTTTTTCAAGTTGTTTCTTGACCATTCTTTGCCACGCTGAAGAGGTCAAAAGATTCGTTTTGTAGATTGGGATTGAGTTTACACTTATTGGCAGATTCTTTGAATGCCTATGGAGTATACGGGCCTTCGTAAGGAAGAGTGACATCATGCTTTGTGCGTTGTCTGCTGTCCCTAGGCATTGATGGCCATGCCTAACATTAGGTTCTGTTTCAGACTTGCAAAGAACATGCCGAGAAGAGCTTGGCATGTCAACTAGAGCGATCGCATGCTCATCATTTAGCACAGCCTCTGCTTCTCCTATCGCCTCGTTGTAAAAGGTCTTTGGATCAGCAAACAGTTCACAACGAACATCAGAAAGATATTCAAGGGTTTCACAAGGTTGTTCCGAATACATTGATTTTGTCGCCCAACACCCAGCCAGTTCCTTTGACAAAGGCGTTAGGCAAGCCAAATATTAGAATGCTCAAATTTGCTTCCTTTTTGGAAGAAAAGCAGTATTCTAGTATTCTAGTAAGTCTGAATCTACAAGATTGCTTGAATACACTGCCCCTTCTTCCAGGGGCTTGAGCTTGGAATGGTATGCTGCATACTTTCACGATTACGAATCATTACTCACAAACTACTGCGTTTCTAATTGATACAGGTACAGTCCCCCGTCTCTTGTCTCCTACTCTCTTGCTCCTATCTATCTCTGCTCATCCTGCTTGGCATCCCTGAAACCTCTCTGCCCTGGTATAAAAACAATGCACGCCATTTCAAAGCATAAGCGGTTACATAGTAACGGTTAGCTTGCGCTGGCCTCAGGGCCTGAGACTCCCGGCCGCCGCGGCCGGGCCCGGGACTCGGGACCGGGCGCCCCTGCAGTGCCACCGTCTGTGACGATGACCTGCCGCCAGGCTTCCAAGTGACTGATGGCAGGCCGCCAGCGCACCAGTAAGTTTCAAAGCATTTTTACACAAAGGCGTCAAAGAAAGAATCTACTTCATCAGAGACATGTTGTAAGTCGCCCTCCGAATCATGGGCCTCATCCTCATCCTCACCTTCACCCTGGCCCTGGCCCTGGCCCTTTCCCGCGCTACTGACAGAAGCTGCTTCTGCCTTTGGGGTTGTCGACTCAATCTTGGAGTTTCCTCCGCTCTCTATTTTGCAGCTCTCCTTCGAGATGCCATAGTTGGAATCTCCTGCTGATTTCTGGACGTGTGCAGGAAGGCTTCCAGTAATCACTTCAGCCTGCGTAGCCTTGCAGCATGAGTCTGGAAGCACAAGCCTAGGTTGCACTCACTTGGCTCAAGCGCTCAACTGCTGCTGGCTCATGAGCATATCCGCTTGCTATCCCGACTCGGCCCTGATTTGAGCATGACGTGGAGCAGCATGCGGAACACCAACACACCTTGACAACATCGAGCGGGCGATCGAGCCCCTCCTTGAGATCAAGACCTCGGAAAGTTCGATGCTCATATGCCTGCGGCAGTCGTCAGCCCGTGCAGGTCTCACCTTGCTGTCACTTTGCTGTTGGTAACTGTGAGCGTACCGTCACCCACGTTGGGTCTTCGAATGATGGCGCCACTGGTGAGGGAATGGCAGATATTGTCTTCGTCGTCTGAGTTATCGCTGCTCACCTCAGGGAGAGGGGTTTTCCTTGCATGGTCGTCAGATCGGCAGATGTAAAAGGGCACAACACATACAGCAACGGGCGGAAGTCAAGGTTGTAGTCGCCCGTCCATTCTCTTCCTCGCACCAGGGCGATTTCAAGCTCCATTGGCGTTATGAGCGGTTTGAGATAATCCGCTGCTCGGATGCTGTCAATGCGTTCACATTCATCAAGGCAATGACCTGCATCAATCGAAACCGTGTTTTCTGGGCTTGCGACCAGCACGAAAGAATCGATTTCAGCAAAATTTGCAAGCTTTGCTGGATTGATTTTGCCCACGTAAAGAGTATGAACAATTTTTCCTGACATAGTGATGATCTTTTTCATTCTTTCAACAATGTCCCTATATCCCTCCATTGCTGTAGTTGCGACGACAATTCCAATTCGTTCTGAGTCCTTGGTCTTCATCATCAAGAAATATCTCCGTTTGATCAGTCGCGAGCTATCCCCAAGTTCCGTTTTGAAGCTGAATTGATCAAAATCATCATTGTGTTGCAAGAGCATGAAGCAATACTGATTATATTCAAGGATCAACCGAGTAAGCTCTGGCCCTTCTTTTCCCACGTAGATAATGGTGAACTTTTCTGCTTCTGTGTTTTCAGAATTTTGGGCTCTCGATTTGTCAGAAGCAAAATCTTTGAAGTCACAGGGAACACAAATAGAAAAATTGCACATTGAAATGAACTTCATTCCATTGTCATTTTGATCAATAGATTGTCCAGGTGACTGAGAAGTCCCGGTTTGCTGGCAACAAGTCACCGACAAACCTGAATGTGAACAATCGGTAGAACACAACGAGGGAGGAGTTCGTTGAGATGAGTTGCTATTCTCTGAGTGCAACGTTCCGACATAACACTTGTCAGACGAATTTTTCAATTTTTGACGCAGTACATTCTCACATGATTTAAATTGAGCAGACAACAGAACAATTGTTGACGCGCAGGGTTCAATCCTTGTTTTCAGCACGTCAAAAATTCTGTTTGGATCGACCTGCACGAATCCAAAAACATTGCGGATGGGCATCACATCTGAGCGGGTCACAGAGGCCCTTCCATACATGACGATACAATCGGCCCGCACATGCTGAGCAGCAACGACATCAGGATCCCAAGAGCTAACGGAGCTGTCTGCAAGGATGTAGAATTCGATGTCCTTCTCTTGAGCAGTGGATCTCAAGCTGCTGACAAGCTTTTGCGAATGTTTCAAATATTCGTCTGGAATCTGAAGAGCAATTCGCTTCATCTTGTGTTCTTTGATCCAGGAGCACGTGTCACGTACGTCGAAATTAATATCGAACTGTGCATGCTCCTCCGTCATTTCAGCCAAACGAACTTCGGATCACTCTTGAAGAGATGCTTAATGGCAACTCATGAGCCTGTCAACTAATCTCAGAATGAAAAATCCGTATCATGCCAAGCAGTATCTTCTTCAATGCACAATATGGTCGATTCACTGAATCTTTCTTTAATTCTCAGAAATTCCAAACCGATGTTAAATGCTGGGTGAACATTCCAATCCAACACACATTCTTGATCAAGTAGTTTGTGTATTCTAAATTCTACGATAAATTCTATCTTCCTTGTAGAGGGGTTCAGATCAATATTCATACCTCACTGCCCTTGGCTACCTATCGTCTATGAAGCGCAAACTTTCAAATTCAAACCAGAATTATCCGTCTCTGCTGCAACAACTTCAAGAGTGAGATGCATGACTTATCATTTGTCCTTTCTTCATTCATGTCTGAGCCTTACTTTCAAGAGCTGAAAACAGCCTATCCTGTACAAAGAAAGGGAGCGAACTATCCTGTACAAAGAACTTCAACTACAGATTTCATGAACAGATGGCATTCAATTGTCAACCGATGGCTGAAAAAGAATCAAATATCGGCCTTCACAACTCACTGGCGCAGCATCGCAGACAATCGCATTGCTTGGGAACTGAGAGCACATGCACTCCCAAGGTTTCCTTTTTTTACTCACTTGTAACACAGCCCGGGCGGCGCCGGGCGGCCGGGCCGCGGCCCGGTCGTGAGCCTGAGCCGTAAGAGATTATATGTGGTACAAAAGCTCCTTGCAACCCCTCTGGTGGACCGGGCCGGCCTTAGGGTTTCAGGCACCATGGCTCCGCGCCAGGTTCAGGGGACTTGAGGTCATCTTCAGTACTAAGGCGGCTGATCAGCGAGGAGCTGGCAAGCTTTGCCCTTAGGGTTTAGGCCCTGGATAAAATTTAGGATTTCGGGTTTCGGGTTTCGGGTTTCGGGTTTCGGGTTTCGGGTTTCGGGTTTCGGGTTTCGGGTTTCGGGTTTCGGGTTTCGGGTTTCGGGTTTCGGGTTTCGGGTTTCGGGTTTCGGGTTTCGGGTTTCGGGTTTAGGAATTCGGGTTTCGGGTTTCGGGTTTCGGGTTTAGGAATTCGGGTTTAGGGTTTAGGGTTTAGGAGCCGGCCCTTAGTAAGAGCAGCCGGCCATTAGTAAGAGCAGCCGGCCCTTAGTAAGAGCAGCCGGCCCTTAGTAAGAGCAGCCGGCCCTTAGTAAGAGCAGCCGGCCCTTAGTAAGAGCAGCCGGGGTTTAGGGTTTAGGGTTTAGGGGTTTAGGGTTTAGCGTTTAGGGGGCCCGTTGACAGAGGCATGCTGCTCTGTGGCGCGTAGGGAGAGCGCAAGGGCACCGGAGGAAGCTGCGAGCAAGAGGTTTGTGCAGTTCAAACAGCTTTCTAAGTATGGTACTACAGTATGATGAGAGTGTTCGCAACCTGCTGTATCATCGGCGGAGATCATGCCAATACACGCAGGTTGAGCGCTCAGGAGGCCACGTCGAGGAGGCCGCCGACCTCGTCGAGAAGGTGAAGAGCTTCACCAAGCGTTATCCGAATAGTCGGACAAGGGTTTAGGGTTTAGGGTTTAGGGTTTAGGGTTTAGGGTTTAGGGTTTAGGGTTTAGGGTTTAGGGTTTAGGGTTTAGGGTTTAGGGTTTAGGGTTTAGGGTTTAGGGTTTAGGGTTAAGGGTTTAGGGTTTAGGGTTTAGGGTTTAGGGTTTAGGGTTTAGGGTTTAGGGTTTAGGGTTTAGGGTTTAGGGTTTAGGGTTTAGGGTTTAGGGTTTAGGGTTTAGGGTTTAGGGTTTAAAATTTAGGGTT